TTTCACAAGATCCAAATACAAAAGAATATGTTCTCATAATGAGATATGCAGACAAAGGAGATTTTAAAAAATATTTAAAATCAAATGATACAAGTTGGAATGATAAAATTAAAAGACTTCATGATATTGTCTCAAGTTTAAACACATTTCATCAAGAAAAACTTACACATGGTGATCTTCACAGTGGTAATATTTTATATTTTAAATATTTACACCAGACAATGATTACAGATTTAGGGTTATCAGGTCCAACTAATCAAAAAATATCAAGTAAAAATGGTATAGTTGGAGTACTGCCATATATTGCACCAGAGGTATTAAATATGAAGTCTTATACCAAAAATCTGACATCTATAGCTTTGGGATCTTAATGTCAGAATTATCAACATGTCAACAACCATTCAAGAATCAACCACATGATCTAGATCTTGCTATCAAGATCTGTAATGGCTTAAGACCTAGTTTTTCAGACAATACTCCAGAATGTTATATTAGGTTAGCATACAAATGTACAGATGCTGATCCTAAAAAAAGACCAACAGCAAATGAAATTTTAAAAATTATTACTTTTTGGAAAGATGCAGTTGCATATGATGATTCTAAGTATTATTTTAAAAAAACAAATTAAAAGAAATAAGAAAAATATTTGAAGAAGCAAATAAAAAGCCCTTTAACCTTCCAACAATTACTGCAACTGTTCATCCAAATGCTATTTATACAAGTAGATTATTCAATTTTACAAATCTTCCACAACCTGTAAACTCCAATAAAGTTACAATTATCAGCAACAATATTGGTAATTATCATCAATTATTTAATTTTAAAATTCATTTAATACCAGCATTAATATTATTTCTATTGTGTTATAAATTATCACATTTACAGAACATCAAATTGATTTAGATAATATTAATAATGGTAATTATCATCAATTATTTGAACAATTATCACATATATTTATAGTAATAATAATGGTAACTACATTATTTTTATTATGTTATAAATTATCATATTTATAGATTCCAATCAAATGGATTTAGATATTTAAACTTCACTCATTTGATTATTGGAATTTTACATCAGTTTTTATTATTGTGAGAAAACATTATTTTTATTTTAATGACATGATCAATCAATTTATTTATTTGGATATCAACATGATATATTTGGTCTATCTTATATATAGTTCAGGCCAATTACAGAGATTTAATTGTAAAAGTTTCAGTCAACAGTTAAAAAAAAAGGTTTATTTGTTAAACTGATTTTCATTTAAATCATTTTATTTTCCTATGACATTAGTTTTGGGTGTTGTAACAGTTTATATATTATATATTATTTAGTTATCATAAAAAATAAAATTTCATTAAGAATTTTGGATATTTGATTGCCTTATAAATTTTTTTCTAACAGGATTAATTGATAAGGATGTAAATTGGAAAATGAAAATTGCATTAATTAAAGTATAACTTCATCACCATCAAGCTTTAGTGATTGATCTATCATGATTCAACAATAAAAGAATTTCAGCATTCTTTGAAGATTTAAAGTAATAAAAATAAAGAATATGTACAAAACCTGTGTAAAGGTCAACCTATGTTGCTACTAAAGACAGCTCAAGCACATTACTATTACGTGCAGTTAACTTCAGAGGTCAAAATTTTGAAAAAACATCAACACAACTCATATGTATGTAAAGACAATTTTATTTTATAAAATGTAATACCATAATAATAAAAGAATAGTTTAAAAATATATGGAAAAGAAAATATGTAGTAGTTTATTTAAGTAAAACTTCTCCCATGATAATTATTCTTCTTGCATCATTGTAATATTCATACAATAATGTAATAATTCTTTATTCATCTCCAGTATACATATTTTTACATAATTCGGAACTTTTGATAATCCTATTTTATCATTATCATTATTGCTGCTTGTATCAAGTGTTTTTACTTATGTCAAGTGTTTTACTTATGTCAAGTGTTTTTAATTATGTCAAGTGCAGTGTATAAAATTCATGTGCACAGTGTGCACAGTGCACAACCCTCTTAAACTATGCACAATAAGATAAATATTTTTGTGTAGACTCTCAACAAAAATTTTAAATATAGTGCACAAATTCAATGAGAAATTTTGCATCATTACATTTTTCTATGTATAATACACAAAAAGAATCAAAAAAATTAAAATACTTACAATTTTTTGTGCATACATGCACAATTTTTAAACAATTCCTGAAAAAATTTTGTACAACATGCACAAAAATTGATCGGCAAATTTTATACACTGGTCAAGTGTTTTAATTATGTCAAATGTTTTAATTACATCACAGAGTTTTACTTTAGTCAAATTGTCAAAATGGCCTGGTGAGAAACCACCTTTAGTCAACACTTTAGCTACATCAATGACTTAAGTCAAAAGTTCCATCATAAATCATTAATACATGATTGGGTAATTGTGCACTCCATGCTCCAGAGCAAAATTATTATCAAATGAAAATTTTTATGCAAAAGCTTTATAATTATTATGTGAATTTATAGATATCAATATTGTTTGCAATAATAATAAACCTTTAATTTCATGAATTATTATTATTATGAATAGTAATAGGGAATAACTTTCGATCTTTGCTTAAAAAGCAAAGGGAAACAATAGATAATTAACACTAATAAAATAAACTCTGTGATGGAATCATAAACTTTTAAAAATAAAATACAAATAAAAACATTGTTTTTATTTTCTTTGTTTAAAGCACTTTTATAAAAGCAACAAGTGTAGTTAGTTAATTCATTGGTAAAAGGCAACAATTGTGGAGCTTTGGTAAAAATCCGCATTTTATTTTCTTTAGTGAGCAAGCAAGATTAGGTATAACTAATAATGAAGTAACATCCAAGGTTAATATTGTAATTGTAAATGTAAGATTGTTAAATAAGTCAGTTAATTGCAGGTAACTGACAATAATTTGGTGCTCATAAATTAATTTACAAATTTACTTTATGAATCTGTGAGCACACTTAATGGTACTAGATAACTGTAAATAAATAAAGATGGCCCTTTTACAAACTATAAAGTTCTTTTTATTCATTTGTGATTGATTTATTTAGTCATTTACACTTATTGGCCAATTGTCAAATTCACTTTGGTTAATTTGCAAAACAATTTAACTGACAGAGTAGCCCAAAAGTTGAGTCATCAATCAAGATGATACCTCGCAGTATCATCATTTAACAAGAATCAAAAAACAGTAAAAAGTTTATTATTTCAAAACATTATTATAATTTAAGAAACAAAATAAGGATAAAATAAAAAGATAAATAAAAAGGTAATAATAAATTTATAGCAGAGATTAAATTAGTCACTCATCAATTATTACTTAGGACCTAATGTTTATTAACTAATTAATTAATATTATTAGTAATACCAATCAATTAATAACGAGATTTTTATTCACCATTGTTAACATTTAGAGAAAAGAATTAATATCAAGATTATTTAATGAACTATTATTACTAGTATAACTTTTAACCTCATCATCTAATATTCTACTTGTATGATAACCATCTGGATGTATGTTCTTGTTGTAAAATACTACCATTACTAGTAGCATTATTACTAATAATTTCTTCTAGTTAATTATCAGCAAAATTATAAAGCTCTCCACTAGTTGGTCTTTTTGATGGATCCACATCCCAACACCTCTGCATCAATTGCACATAATCATCAGGTGTTTCAGGTAATATTGGTGGTCATAAACCTTCAGATATATTGAAAAACAAACAATGGTTGTGAGCTCCATTATCCAATGGTGGATGATCTGAAAATATTTCCCACATTAACATCCCAACACTATAGGTATCAGTTTCTTTTGTGCTATTTACATTACTTGTCCTCCAAGTAACTCAGGTGCAATATATGATAAAATTCCATAGAGTTTATTTGATAACTTTTCATCAACTGGTCCCCATAATCCTAAATCTGTAACATAACAACCATCTTCTTGCACAAGTATATTACCACCATGTAAATTGCAGTGGATTAAATCTTTTTTGTGCATATCCTTTAATGCGTAACATAAATAATAAAAAACTGTAATTCTGTCTTTTGATGTTAAATTTAAATGATTTTTTTGCAAATAATCCCTTAAACTTCCTTCTGAATGATAATTTAAAAATGTTGCATAATTTCCATTATTTGGAAATTTAGTTATACCATAACATTGAACAATTGAGCATGATTTAATTTTAGAATAATTTATTGCCTGTAATTAAAAATAAACCAATTAGTATTATATAATAGCATTGTTTGTTTTGTTTTAAATGACAACTACCAACCTCATCAAAAAAGGCCTTTTCTGGATTAATACTACTTGTTGCCCTCCTAAATAACTAAATTCCTTTTTAATTTCATCATAATCACCAATAGTTCCTCTTGACCATTCTGCAGTATAAATCCACCTTCTGTCAACTTTGTTACTTCTTCAAATTGCTCAAAAGGTATCCACTGCAACAAATGACTATTATTCAAATGTTGGTGGTAAAAGTTTACCAAGTTTGTCTAAAATAACTCAATCATTCTAAAATATATCCTGGCAGAGATGATACCATTTGACATTGTTGAATAAAATCATCAATTATTTTATTTCCAGATGTCCAAGTAGTGCTCTATAATTGTAAACCAATAGAGAATTCATTTTTTAAATTATATTTTAATAAATTTTATGACAACGGAAAATATTAGATTGAATAGAATGTACATAGTAGTAGACTTTGATTTAAAAGTTTATTGTATATTTTATCATTACGTATATATTTTCAACTATTGTTTGTCATCTGTTTTTAATGTTGTTTGTTGCCTGTGTTGTTATCTAAACCATTGTGACTGACTTTTTAACGGAACTATACTAAAATCCTTTATCATAGAAGAAGAATCAGAGCAAAAGTAAAACAAACATCTCGAATGAATTCGGTTTGATATTTTATTATGCTTCCAATTTTACAATTTTACAATAAACACTTGTGCGTGAATTTGAAAATTTTAAATTGCATTCTACTAGTATATTAATATTATTATTTGTGTACAGAGTTCTGTATATGAGAAAAATAGTTTCTTGGTGTTTTTTGTTTTTTAATTAAAATATCTTGACTTTTATTGATCAATAAAAAACGAACTTATTTAATTATTTATGTCATATTCTTTATTATCATCATTTTGCTTCAGAATTTTTTACTAATTACTTATCAATTAATGCGAATATTCATACATTTCATCACTTGTTCTACTATATTTGCTTTTATACCTGTTATAAAACCATTTATTCAAATGTTTACGAAATATTTACACTGCTATCTTTGTCTATTAATCTTGTCTTGTCACGTGCGAATAAGGTAATACAAGAGCTTACTCGTAAAAGGACACTTACAAACAATTTAATTAATTAAGGATATATTGAAAAAAATAAAAACAACAATTTGATATCTATTCATTTTAACGATTCGTCGTCAATTGACCAATAACTTTATACAAGATACTTTCCAAATCCTTTGAAATATTTTATTTACTCCATTGACCAAACCTTGTTCTCTCAAGCATTTTTTATAAATCGCACAACACTGCATTAAAACATCCACATGTATGAGAATTTTATTGTTGCGAGTTATTTAAAATTGACAGTTGCAACGTACCAGTATCAGAGTAAATCTTTGTATTTTTGTATATAGGTACCATCAAGGTTGCTTGCCGAAACTTCTTAATGACTGCTGAAACTCTGCCAATCGTCAAAACCCCCAAATGCAAGGCCCTGCTGAAACTCTAATAAAGAATTTGCATAACCTACTGAAATTCTGCCAGAGGAGTTATTACGCAACATAAAATTAAAGTAATTACTAATATAAACAAGAAAATTATTTTAACTCTTCTGTAAATTATTTCTAGACTTAATGATTTAATAAAATAAATAATTTGTAAAACAAATTTCAAAATTAAAAGTTAAAATTTTATTACTGTGTTTTTGTTCAGCATTATTATTATTAACATTTTCTTCATCAACAAAACAACATCATCAGCAGGATGTTTTTGTTATTTGTAATCATGACAAGATTATAGCTATCTTTATTATGTAAAAAAATTAGTGATATATACAATAATCTTCAAACACAAATATTTATAATAAAAGAATAAATATTATTTTATTTTCTTACTGTTGATAATATGGAATTTCAGCATTATTTTTCATAGAATAGTAGAGAAAGTGGTATCCACACTCCTTAATGGATTACCTGTTATCATTTAAAAGTTCTCAAGTTCTTTTGATATCAAACTTGAATTATCAAGCAAATCAGAATGTAAAAAAAATTAAAAAAGAAGTTAGAAATACACATTGTGAATAAGTTAGATTTATGATAAAATATATCAACAAATAATCTGGAAAATTGGAAATGCTGTTAATAAATCATTTAAAGACAATAATTTATGTTTAACAATATTTATTATGTCCACAGAAAATTAATTGAAATTAATACTAACATCCACTTGCAAGCATTATGGAAATTTGGATATATACTCAAAAGAATGGAGAATTAAAGTCTGGAGCCTTTATTTAATAATAATAAAAATAGGAGCCTTTGTAATTTAATATTGAATTACGTTATTATTGTTATTTATGATGATCAACATTATTTTTTTTGAGCCATTGTTTACTATTAAATATACCACGTGATTCCCCCTACCCTTAATTCAATTCAATTCAAATTCAAAAAAAACAGGATTCAATTCAATTCATGACTCAATTCAAATTGATTTGAATCAAACCGGATTCCTAAAATTTTTTTATCATATTAAATTTATATTTTTAATTTGATAATTTAAATTTATATTACACACTGAATCTCAATTAGTGTGCCTCCATTTAATGAATACTAATGGATTGAGGTCTAAGAATGGTTTAATGATAATAAAATTCTTCTTGATATGATATTTATTCGAATTTTTAATAATTATAGATTTCTTGATATTGTAGAAAGGGCTTCTGTTGTATCTGACTCTTCTAATTCTTCTAGAAATCTGGCTTTAGTATTTCTTAAGCTTCTTCTTCTTTTTCTGGGGTCCACAGCATCAGGAAAATTGATTTGAAAAAATGCATAGAATATACAAAGATATAGCATGCAATTAGCATACAGCTGTGCACTTAATCTCGATAATTGTAGGGATTAAACACACAGCTGTATGCCATATCTATGCATAATTTGCGTTTAAAATATGCATGAGTTTATTGTTCGCTTATTGTTTGCTAATTATACAATGGGGTGTCTGAAAAGTTTTGAGAATCGATTTTTATTTAACTAAATTACATTTTGATTTTTTTAAAAAACTATTGCATTCCTTCAAAGTACTCTCCATTAACGTCTATGCAAAGTTTCAGCCACCTTTGCCATTCCTGGAAAGAGTTTTGATATTCATCACTTGTGACATTATCAGTAATTGCCTGAACAGCATGTGCAAGATTTTCTATACTATCAAAACTTTTTCCACCCAGTTCTTTTTTGATTTTAGGGAACAGAAAGAAGTCACAGGGTGCTAAATCTGGACTATAGGGAGGGTGGGGTAGTATTCTAACCTTATTTTTGCTTAAATATTCATCAACGACTTTAGATTTATGTGGCGCAGCATTATCATGGTGAAGCAACAAGTGTTTCACTGTTCTTCTATTTGTAATTTGCTTGAAATTTTCAAATACTTTTGGGAGAACATGATTGGCATAATACTTCCCTGTTATGTTTTGACCCTTTGGAACAACAATTCTTGCTATAATTCCATCAATTGAGAAAAAAACACAAAACATTCGTTTCTTACTGTTTCGTGCTGTTCGTGTTATT